AAAAATTTTTAAAAATCGTACATAAAATAGATCCAAATTTCACGATAATCCGATTTCACGATAATCCGTGACAATAAATACCAAAGCATTTGTCCTACAAGTTAAAAATAAAATGTGAGGTACCTGATACGTATTATCTTATCAAGCTATTAATAGTCGAAATATCGATAGCTAGCAAAAATAGCAATCATCTACGTGTACGTGTATACTATCTAATGTTTTTATAAATTCAAATAATGTTTTATAAATTCAAAATTTGCTAATTGTTCACAAACAAGAGAAAAGTCTTATAATTATTGTATGAAATATCTTAGCGCGTAGCGCTATTTAGATGCTACGAATAGCTGGACACTCCGTACCATATGTAAGGTAAAAGGGGTTTTTAAAACCAATTGAATGTTTATGGAAATCAATCATCTTTACCTGATATGGATTAATAACATCAATAGGGAGTAGTCTATGTCACAAACGCGTATTGTTACTCAGAATTAATAACTTAAATAATAAAGGGTGACAGGGCCCATGTATGCGGTGAATCGCACGTACATATGTCTGTACGTACGTACATAATTGGAGTTTTATGCAAAGAACGGATTTGATTGCCTTTATATATCATACGACTTCGATATAATCTCCAATTTCTGATAGTAGATTATCATAATTCATATATCTCTCATATCTCCCTTTTTTTTCATTTGGATGTGTTTTCCGACAATTTAAATTTAGCGATTATGTCTGAACCAAATGTTCCTAATGAACGTGACCCACTAATTGGTTCAAGGGTAAGTTTGGGTATATATCTCGTTTTTCTTTAAAAACTCGTTCGAATAAAGTAAAAAAAAAATCTACCAAAAATTCTTAAAAAGCCCAAAAAATATTTTAAAAATATTTTAATGTGAAATGAAATAAAATAACACATTATCTCCTAAATTCATTTCATGCTTTTATAAAGTACATTAAAGGTCCAACAAACTTGCATTATATCTTGAAATTATTGACAAATTTGCAATTTATAAAAATTTTTACAATTGCTTTGGTGATTGGTACTTTTTTTATATTTCATGAAAGGTGTTTACATTTTTTGAAAATTTTAAACAATATGTTTTGTTGATTATCGATCACCAAATATCGTTTATGTAACTATAAATTTCAAATCTCAGAGAACAGCCTGAGGGTTATGTGATATATAATGCAAATGTTTATACAGTTGATGAAAAAAATCCAAAAGTTGAAGCCTTCACGGTGTTGAATGGAAAGTTTGTTGATATTGGTACAAGATTGGATTTGCTACAAAAATGGACTAGTCTTAAAGTAATTATTATTATTATTATTATTTAAGTAGTGAAATAAAAATTCATGTTAATATGTTTTGTTTGATGGGAAACTTTTAGCATATAGATTTAAGAGGTCGAACCGTAATCCCAGGATTAATTGATGCACATGCGGTATAGCTTTATTAATTTAATTTTTTAATTATATTACGGTTATTGTTATATTAGCTTTAATTGTTATTTCTTTTAATAGCATTTAATGCATCTTGGTGATGCGCTAACATCTGTTAATCTTGTCGGTGCGAAATCTATTGAAGGTTGGCTTTTAATCGTATATCCGATATGATGCATAACATATGAATATATAATCTGAATATTAAGTTCCTTTGATTTGTCATAATCATAAATCGTAGACATAAATCAACGAATTTATGAATATATCAAAACATATCCTAACACGAATGGATGGATCACAGGATGGGGATGGGATCAAACACTCTGGTCATCGAAATCGTTTCCGACTTCTGTAATTATTCAGTGAAATCATTTATCTAAATCTTTTGATTAATCATTTGATGAATTTATTCAATTATCTAATTTGATCTAATTTGATCTAATTTGATCTAATTTGATCTAATTTGATCTAATTGATCTAATTTTTACAGAAAGATTTAGACATTGATCCAATACTATCTCAATATGCAATATCACTATCACGTATTGACGGACATGCTTTATGGGTTAATGGGAGAGCATTGGATATACTTGGAAAAGATAACATTCCACCCGAACTGGATGGTGGTGAGATTATAAGAGACAACGAAACAGGCCAATTGACCGGAATTTTTGTTGATAATGCTATGAAATTGATTCGTAAGCTTAATTTCGGAAATTATTTCATTGATGTATAATTTAATGTTTTTATTTTGATATTTTCTTGTTTACAATTCTGTAGAACAGATATTGCCACAACCAACTGACCAACAATTATTAACAAATCTCAAAGCGGCAATCTATGAAATGCATTCTCATGGTCTTACTGGAGTTCATGATGCGGGTGTTTTACCTAAATTACTTAAATTTTACCAAAAGTACCTTGGAATTTCTGAATCTCTTTTTATTTTATAATGCTTCACATTATGATTTAAATTGTTTCTTTAGTACTATTTTATCAAATCCACAAGACTTTAACATTAGAAATTATGCCATGGTTGAATGTGAAAACAATACTTATTGTGGTAATCAAATTGAGAAAATAGATGGGTTAGGTGACGGGAGATTAACTGTTAGAAGTACTAAAATCTATATGGATGGTGCATTGGGAAGTTGGGGTGCTGGTAGGTTACTATTTTTATTTAAGATATCTTATTTGCTTAACTAGTGGATTTAACATGTAATTTTGTTCTTATATGCTCATAAATATCAATTTAATATCAATTTCTGTTTTTATAGCATTATTGGAGCCTTATTCTGGTAAAATCATATTATTAATTTGTATTTGTAGATACCATAAATTAATTTTGAATATATTGAATGATTTAAAACTTAGATGATCCAACAAAGCAGGGGTTATTAATCTCCGATCCAACTTTATTACCCCCTGTGATTAGCAGATGGTTGGATAAAGTATTGTATAATAGTACTTTAAAAATTACTTTCAAGTTCCGTATAAACATTTGCATTATTGAAAAACTAAGTTAATATATTCTTTTTTTTCATGCAGGGCTTCCAAGTTAACACTCATTGTATAGGAGATAAAGCCAATCACATAATCATAAACGCATATGAAAAATGTTTTAAAGATTATATACTTTCAAAACAAAATGGGCAAAACATTACCGAGGAAGAATTGACTAAAGAAATTAAAAAATTAGGTGAAAGTGTTAGATTTAGGATTGAGCACGCACAAATATTGGTATGTTTATGTGTTCCGAAAATCATCATTATATGTTATTTAAGAAAAAAAATTTATTTCTTTTTAATTCAGACGTTAGACGATATCAAACGTGTTGGTGAATTACGGATCATACCGTCAATGCAGCCTACACATGGTAAATACAGAATTTGAAGACAATAATATTAATGACTCTAACTTAACATTTGTTTATTGTATGCAGCAACGTCCGATATGAATTATGCAGAACAAAGACTGGGTAGTGAACGTATTAAAGGTGCATACGCATGGCGTTCATTCATTGACGCTGGGTATGATATTTAACTGTAAAATGTATGATCGTTTATGATTTAACAGAGGTAAAATTCCAGATTTAAGTAAAGCGAAGCGAGAACCTGTCTTGGAGTATTATATCCTTCTGACCTTAATTAAAATGTTAAAACTCGCTACGCTTTAGTCAATATTCAAATTTGTCACTCTTTCTGAGGCATGCGATTATTTATAACAGATAGGTTATCAATCGGAATAATATCAGGAATTTGAATTAATGAATTAGAATTAATAAATCCTGCCGTTATACATTCCCAAAAGAGTGACAATAGTATGCTCAATTTTGAATTTTGAATTTTACCTCCGCTTTATGATTTCCAGCATAACTAACTTTATATTATGTGAAGAGTAAAGGCATTTCCTCTTTCTTCGGATTTCCCCGTAGAATCTGTGAACCCTTTTTTGGGATTCTACGCCGCAATCACGCGAAAATGGACTAATGGGGATTCTGTATGACTTCATTATACGTATTCACTTATTAATAAACTGGTCTGATAATAATATTACTATTGTTCTAATTATAGCCACACGGTCCAAATGGATGGTTTCCATCCCAAAAACTAACACGTGAAGAAGCTTTACGCGGATTTACCATTGATGCAGCCTATTCCGCGTTTAATGAAGATATTGTACGTATAAAAAATTCTTTTGGTCATAGCTTTCGATAACCTAAATTTTTCAATATCTTATTTTTTTTTTTCTCTTAAAGTTGGGATCGATAACAGTAGGCAAATACGCGGATTTTGTGGTAATCGATCGTGATATAATGAACATTCCAGAACAAGAAATAATTAATACCGCCGTATTGACAACTGTGTTCAATGGGCAAGTTGTTTTTGGAGATTTTTCAAAGATTGTACAATAATAATTATAAAGTTTATGTATTTTAGCTATGACTTTTAAGTTCTTTACATTTTAAGTGGAATTTGTTTGTATAGTTATGATATTATTCGTATATCTACTGTATTCATCATCTATTCATCATATATTTATAGTCATCTATGATTTATTAAAGAATAAATTGTATTTATATTTTAATTGAAAGCGCAAATTGTACAATAAAAGTCTTAACTTTTATATATATCGTATTTGCCCCAAAATAATCTACAAAAATTTTAAACGTAGCTTATTTCCGAAATATATATATTAAAATATCTCAGTAAAAACTTGTTCAAATTGCATGAAATTTTTAGGGCATATGTATTTTTCTGTCCCGAACAACTTTACATGGAAGCTCAAAGGTGTGATTTACTTAATAAAAATTTGACTTTTATATGTAGAAACGATTTGCGTTTTTTGATTCAAACAGGGAGGTAGCTTATTATTGGGAAAACACGGTACCTCTACAGTATATCTCTGTCTGGAGCAAATAAATAGAACTTCAGTGTAATCAATTAATGAATAAAGTTTTACTTTCAACAGTAAATTAATAAAATTATTTTACATGATGTTATATTGTATTAAATTTGTTTAATGAGCATAAAAAAATAAAGATATATTCGTTACATATAATGATAAATTTGATTTATACTTGTTTCTTCATCAGACGAACCTTTAGTGTTATCGATAACAGTCCATCTTAATCACAGGAGAAACAACTTGATTAGCCTCAGTAAATCCATCTAGACTTCTCATGTCAGTACGAAAGTGCACACCAACAATGTCACTTGGAACATACAAAAGTTTTAAATAATCGGAATTTAAAGATCTTCCTTTAGAATCATAAGATTCTCATCCATCCAGTAACGTAAGCGCATCATCCTGAACCAATACTTTATTAATCTTACCGAAAAGTCTTCGTTAATCTCGCCACGATAAGTTGCTACTAAACTCCAAACTGCGCGATCTAACCAAAAGTCTAATTCTAAATTTAATGAATGACTTTTTTTCTTGAAGCTTTGTCCAGTCTTCAAGTGTTCCTTCAAGTATAACTTTTGGCAAAAGAACAAGTCTACTCAAAATAAGCCTTAACCATATCCAATAATACAATTCAACTTGCAATTAAGGTTGTTGTCAAAAAGTCACATTATAGCAATTTAGATTAATTTTTTCACATTTTCATCAGTTTTTATAACAAGTCTTCACAGATTTCTGACCAATTGTCTTCAAGAGTATCTCGGTGACATCAATCACAAATTTTTTTTCCTCATGTTAAACTAATCTATTATGTAGTCAATAGAAACCGAATATGCTCTGATGTTGTAGAAATTTGATCTTTAATCGAAATATAATTTATTATCAAGTTTAATTTCTTGAGGTTAAAATTTAAGTGCCTCAATAATTATTTGGATTCACCTTTGCAAAACTGCAATTGCTAAATGGTTATGAGGAGTTTAAGAGTTTATAGCATTGTTATATATAAGTACGTATCAGAATGTTCGGAATTCTACACTTTTTATCCATTATACGTGTATTTGGATTCGCTATACAGAAATTTTCAGCTTGATTTAAGACAATTATCTGCTAGTTTTCACATTTTTGTATAGTATTTAAAAATTGAGAATTCTATGCTTATCTAAAATATAACACTTTTACAAATATATTGAATAAATAAAGTACATTTTCGAATTTTCATACAAAATGCTAATACTACATAGTTTTATAAAGAAATTTTAAGTGCCTGTGTTTTATAGTCCTAATCAATTGCTCTCGCTGTTATGCTCTTTAAATATATGGTTTGATCAAAAGGAGACTGTGTTTATACTTTATTAATGCCTTCGCCAGAGGCTTCGCTTAGAATTTAACACACTGCTACTAATATCTTTCATTGTATGCATTTCGGCTTCATGTGTGTCTATTCAGCGATTATTATCATCTCTGCTAAGTAGTGATCAAAATCATTAGTTGAAAAACCAACTAATTATCTATGTAGTAAAATTAAAAAATTGACTAATCACAATTAACAATTTAGAAATAAGAAATAACTTACTATAAATCTTCATTATGAAATCAGAGCCAATTTTCTTATTTGAAAGAATGCTAAAATGAAGCAATTAAAATTATGGTTGGAGTTGTTCAGGGGTTAAAGATTAAGCAAGTGTTATAGATAAAATTGCACTTTTAACATTTTTTATTTTTATTTTTTATTTAATTTATATAGATTATCCAAATAAAAAAATTAAAAATGAGTAAATTCAATTGGTTTAAGATTATATTAAATCAAAAAATCCTTATTTATTAATATTTCTTTTTAGTAACAAAATATCTCTAAAGCTAAATACTATATACAAAATCTATACTTTTTATAATATAGTAATACTGTAGCTATAGATAGATACAAATCACTAACTACTTGTATCAAATTTTTCTCTAAAAATAATTACTTTATTAAGTAAACCCACTTTTACAAAAATATAAATAAGTTTTGTTTACCACTTCTATATCAGGAAACTATATGATAACAATTAATACATGTAAAATAGATGGTGTTAGTGAATTTTAGTAACTGGATCTAATATTCTGAAAAAAGCACCTTATGTAGCATATTATTCAAGATATATATGACTGTTGTGAAGTTTCAAAGTTCTTATATACTTTCTAATAATGATATAGATTTAATCAAAAGAGTCAAGCAAAGTATAATGAAATATACAAACATCCTATAGTTATTTGTATATAATTTTTAACCTCTGACATAAATTATAATATATTTTATTTTCTGTTTTTTTTGTATCAAGTTTCTCACAACAATTCAATATGAGTAGTTCATTACTCTGTATAGTTAGAAGTTTTGTTTAGTTAGCAGATTTTTTTCTTCCTAATAATAGTTTTTTATAAATTATAAATTAGCTTTTAAATTTTTTTTATATTAGTACCTGTTTTCATATATATATTTGTTTTTTTCTTTTAACCTTTTATTCTTTCTTTATTTTTTTTTTATCTTTTTCCTTTTTTACGATTAGCAACATTCTATTGTAAAGTAAAAATCTTGACAAGGCTTGCAACATACCAACTATTGATCCTAAAAGAAATAAATCTGAAAGAAGTTTTGGATCTTTAGAAGGGTTAAGGTATTGTCTTGGCAAATCACTTTGGGTAAAATATAATAGTTTAATAGTTTATCCTGACTATAAGTAGAAGTTTTAGCAACTGCATAGTATAATTTAGAAAGTTTAACTTTTGGTGAAGAAATATAGAATTGACTATAGTTAATATATGCTTTTGTACTATCTTAGTTTTTTTCTCTAAATAAAGTAAACAGGATTGTCTAAGAGAAAAAATATAAATAAGTTTTTAAGCTTATATCTATAAACTAAAACTCAAAATTTTATTAAGCAAATATTTAATATAAAAAGATTTAGCTTATTTATAGCTTTATTTTGATATATAATATATTATAATAAATAGATTAAAATTTATAAAATTATAATTAAATACTTATAAACTCTGTTACAAAAATTATAGAGAATTTATATATAAGGGCCCAAAAATGAAAATAATTACAAATACGGGCCCAAAATAAAACTAATTACAGATAGGAGCCCAATTTTTGAAAAATATTATAATAAGGGCCTAAATCTATTTTTGGTATAAAAAATGTGGCTACAGGATTGCTACGCCACACAGACACCACAATAACTTTCTTAATTTTTGCTAAAATAAAATGCAATATTGATTAAAAAAGACAAAATAAGAGCAATGGTTTTATTCACTATAAGATATTTTAAACTTATAATATAATTAAGCATCATTATTAAGATTATATGAATGCTAATTTCCACCTATCTAAAATACTGATATAAGAGATTAAAAGCTAATTTTATTTTTGCTGATGTCTTCAACCACAAGTGCATGAATTATACCCTTTTTTACTACATTTTCTATATATAACTTGGACCTCTGGTGTCGTTTTATCACAACTATGTAAACAAGTTTTTTGTGAATATCCTGCTTGCTTAACTGCAGTTGGTGGCAAAGTTTTATTATCAGAAAGGCATATTTCAGCATCAACAGGATAAACTGATCTTTCGTAAATATTTTTAAGAGTAGTGGTATGATATGTAAAATGTATAAATTGTGATGGCTGTTGATGTGTTTTAAGTATAGCAGCACAGGTATGTATGCAAAGAAATTGATACTCTTGAAATTGCTGACAGGTACTAGTTAATAGGCAAAATCTATAATTCAAAAGTTGCTATTATCACTTTTAATTTTGAAGGTTGACACATCAATCTGATATACTATTTGGTTACAATATCTGTTGATAACTGATTGAAGCTGCTGGGTGGTTGTTTGTAGTAATATTGTAGCCACTGAAGAATATGTTGTATGCCGATTATAATATAGTATATTGACTTTGCATACAAATAAAAG